CTAGAAAAATGATAAAATTTCGTATCATTACAAGTTTGAAGAAGTACAATATTCTAAAATGATGAAATGAACATACCTATATTGTGAAAACAATGGATTCGAGATAACGGATTATGTGGGGACCGATCGATTGGATAATGTGGGCCAACAATCACGTGAAGAAAATTTTGAGTATTGGAAAAAAAACGTGACTTGCGTGTGTGTGGTGATTTGGAGTTGAAAAAACAAAGTGAGAATTGTTAAGTTGGTGGTTGGTTGGAAATTTATTATATCATAAATGCATTTATTATGAAATGAGGACAATTTCGTCAATTTACATGATAAAATAAGGGGAAGGGTTTAGAAATCTGAGGTGAAGGATCATAAATAAATAAAAAACAAAAGGGGGTCAAAAATTGAGAGTGGTTATTGAAAGAGGTAAAAAATCTCAATTTCCCCTAAATTGTAATATTCTTTTCTTCAAAATTTTCTATCAAGCGTGGGAATCTTATGTTCAAGTTACATATCATCGACTTGGATATTTCTGTAATTCGCTATTTTCACAGGCATGGCAGCTCCGGCGACGGCGAGTGGCAAGTGAAGCGCCGACCGGCCACCGCCATATATATCATCGAACCACCCGTCCGTTGTCACTTTTAGCTCGCTGAAATGACGACTGCCATGGGACCTCCACCGCCAAGAAACCCTTCCTCCTCTTCTCCAATGGATTCCGATGCCGGAACCCTGGATGGAGATTCAACCTCTTCTTCCACGGCAACAATGGCCTCCATGGGTCCTCCTCCTCCGAAAATTCCCACTCCTCCTGACTCTGAACCCCCAGCCCAGACCACAACTCAAGACGACGGCGACGAATCACTAGTGAATTCGATCAATTTCGATGCTTCAGAGCCCGTTGAGAAGGTTTCAAATGTCTCCGTGTCTGAGAAAGCCGTGGAACTACTGGCTTCTAAGCAATCACAGAGCTTAGCGGTGCCATACACCATTCCTTCTTGGAGTGGAGCTCCCTCCCATCGTTTCTTTTTGGAGGTTCTGAAGGATGGATGCATTATTGATCAATTTGATGTGTAAGTACAAGTTTGAAAGAAATTTTTGGAACTTTACTTAATTTCTCAAGATAAACGAAATTCTGGAACTTAGAGAGTGGCCCAGTCCTATTATAGTTTTGATTGTTGACATATTAGTTACTGAGTTGTGTATATGGTTTTAGGTATGAGAAGGGGGCTTATATGTTTGGACGCGTGGATCTATGCGATTTTGTTCTGGAGCATCCAACCATTTCTCGCTTTCACGCTGGTAACCAACTTTTCCCTTGTCATTTTGAAAGGTTGTTTATCTGATGACTTGAATTAGTGGACATGACCATATGCAGAGTTAGTATAACAGCGATTTCAAGCTTATAAATTTTAAATGCAGAATTTAAGTACAGGGTTTTCTAGCTATTATCATTGACTATTACATGTACAGGATTTAATCCTTGTTTCTATGTTACCATTAAGGTTCCATACATTGTAAATGGATTTCTATGTGTCAATTCAAAGGGCTCTCAACTCTCCATTAGATCTAAATTGCCTAAGTTTAACTAATAATATTAATCAGAAGAAGTTGGTGCTTTGAGCTAAGATTTAAATATCTATTACGTTCATTTACTGAGTGAAGTTGAAAATTGAGCTTGCTGGCTGTTGCTCCTGCCTTTGCCCTTCTTTCTTAAAATGGTCTGCGCTCTCTATGTAGATAGAAGCTCAGTGTTACTATTTCAGTGGTAGAGAGAATAACATTGTGCCTTTCCATATGAGACCTTCGGATCATTTTAAACTACTGTTAGACATTTGACACCTTTAAAGGTCATTTATTTTGCAAAAACTTGAATGCTCACAGGGTGAGCATTAAAATTCCTATGTTTCTTAATAATGTAGGATACTAGGCGTTGTAGGATGTGTGGATCTTTTGAAGAGATCATCATTCCTTCCTCAACCCATGGGCTTTAAGATTTCTTTGGTGGGGCATCTTTTTAGGAGACGATGCAAGGAAACAGGGGTTTTGGAGTGGAAGAAACAAGGAAACAAGGAAGAGTAGAAGCCTCACTAATGATAGTGACATCATTGATGATAAGAATCACTCCCAATGCTGTAGGAACTTCTCATATCGTACATTGTCAAGTGTAGGAAGTTAGAGATAAGAGGTTGGATCATAGTTCGGTTAAGGTAAAATTGCTCAAATCAAAATAAAAAGAGAAAGATTGGACAGACAATGTACGAACAACTCCTTACAACGTTAGGACTTAGCGGTTGAATTTTAGAAACAACATTCAACTCGTCATCCTTGAAGGTCTTATTAACAAGGAACATTGCACTGGAGACTAGACATTTTTGGCCTTTACTTTTCTTCTTTATATATCTTTTTCATCAATTTTCCTTATTTATCATATTAAAATTTAAAATTTTAAAATAATTAGAGACAAACTAATATATTAGTTCAGTAATAAATGATTATATGCAATTAACTTATATTTATATATAAAATACATTTTACATACATTGTATAATATCTCAATTTACATTTCTTGACATATTAAGTTCATGTAGAACTCTTCTAAAATTAAACTTAGATTATATAAAAAACTTATTTCTGTTGAATTAAAATATGAATCAAAATTACACCAAATGAATATATTGTTTACTTTAGATTAAAATTAATACAATTAAATGTAATTGACCATAAAATACTAAATTTATATGAATTAATTTAGTATAAGTATAATATGGTATCTAAATAGTATTATTTTTGTCATAAAAGAAAAAAAAAGGGAATTACCTATTTATGTGCGCAAGTTCTGAAAAACAAAACAAACATATTGCCAAAATATTTCAACGTATACTCATTATATTTTTCTGGAAAAGAAACATAACTATTCAAGCATGCTGGTTATTATATAACTTTATGTTTCTTCAAAAGAATAATTTAAGTGGTCAGAACTCAGAAGATACTATTCTTTTACTACATTGTCTTCCTTTTGTAGTTCTCCAATTTAGAAGTGATGGATATGCATACCTTTATGATCTTGGAAGTACTCATGGAACTTTTATTAATAAGAATCAGGTATGGAACTTTCTTATTTAATTTCAATTCTTATTATTTTTATCAATTTTTGTTCTTTTTCACAGTTACAACTTTCCTATTAGAAAACCCAGAAAAGTTTATGGTTATTGACTGCCGAAGGCTTTTCCTGCCTACTAATGAACATCTCCGTTCTTTTATTTAGGTGAAGAAAAGGATTTTTGTGGACTTGCATGTTGGTGATGTCATTCGATTTGGCCAGTGAGCAACTCTTCATTCTTCATTTTTTGAAATGAAATTTTTGTTTACTTGGATGGTCATTTAATTATTTTCTTCTCTTATGCTATAATTGATATCTTTAAAATATAGTAAATGCTCATAATGATTGTATCTGTCTGTCCCTAAAACAAGGTGTTTTTTCTCTTGGGCGTGGGGGATAAGAAACAGATAAGGACAGGGGTGAGAGGACCACCCCCTCCCAAAAGAAAAGCTATTAAAGAAAGACCTTCCAGTTGCTAATAATTATGGAAAGGCTGTAATTACAAATGAATTATTTTTTTGTTTTTGATGACCACCATATTCTTGCCTGCCTAGATCACCGGTTTGTTAGATAAATTGGCTAAGTTGCAAGTAATGTGAGTGAGATAGCCTATTTATGCTGAGCAAAGGTGTCTATTCTGTCAGATAGAGATTTCTTTTCACCTCCAAATTTGGTCTTTTTTGAAGTGAGCTAGGTGACTTGTCTCACATGTACGAGAGTGACCTGAGGAAGGTCATGTTAGTTTAAGCTGCATGAAAAAATACTTCTGATCATTTAATCTAGTTTAACTTGGTGGTTTTTATTTGTCTTGATATATTAAACGTGGTCTTCATTTTTTTTTTTGGATAAGAAAAAGAGACTTCCATTAAAAGGGTGAAAAAAAAAAAGAATTCCATTAAAAGGAAGAATAAAGACAAGGAGACGAGGAACCCCCTTGCCTAAAAGAAGGTTCAAACAAAACAGCCCAAAACTAAAAACTTTACAAAGACAATAGTTACAAAACATATTATGTAGGACACTTCAAAAAGAGGTTGTAAACCTTACAATCTCACAGGAAGACTTTTCAATTGGAAACGGTTAAAGAAGGTGAGTAATTACAGAATTCCTTAGAGCTTGCATTCCAAGAGAAGTAACAGAAACTAAAGAATCCCCAACCTCCCCCAATCCTTTTGCTACTCACAAAATAAAGACCTTGCTGTCTTGCTTTGTTAGGTTGTAGGCTGCAGTTTTTAAAATTTATTATCTTTTGCTTCAGTTTGCGCTTCTAAAACTCTGATGTTATTGTTTTTATTTTGCAGTTCATCTCGCTTGTACATTTTTCAAGGGCCAAATCATTTGATGCTACCTGTAAGCTTTGCTTAGCATTTTATGTTTAACTCATTGATCACTAAAAGGGTTACTAGAATTTTGCTCTTTTGTTTCCTAATCTACTCGTATTCATTCAGAGACTACTGCTTGCGTGTTTGAGAACTCTTGTAGTTAGACTACTTTAAAATTCATGGATGTAGATATGGAGAGACAGTGATTGGCAAATGATGAATATAAGCTCAGAAGGATCAGCATAGTATAAAACACAAAAATGACATGGTCACAATAACATGCCATAGAAAATTAAGGCATGAATACTATGGAAATAAATATGTCTAAATATACATATTTTTAACATATTTAACATAGTTAGAGTTTCATGCTCAAAGTTTTATTTTATTTTTAATTTAAAGTTATAATGTATGTGATTAGATTACAAAATGGAGAAGAGATAAGGTACCCTCACTATAAAAAGTTGAAGAAGTCAATTATATAGTTTCATTATTCTAATATTGTATTATAGAGATTTATTGAGAAAGTCCTAAACGAATTTAGGAATATCTTTACTCAAAAAGATACCGAGCTGCAAAACATAGTCATAGTGGAATCTTAGAGGAAAAGCATGGTCTTTACAATGACAATTTAATGGCCGAAAGAAATTGAAGATTGGATTTCCTGATATCATTGTGATAAAGAAAACTGCCTTTTGAAATCAGAGTTCAGAGATGCTAAAAACAATGGTTAAAGGATGAGAATGAAAACTCGAGCTTGTTCCACAGATGGTTTGATCGGCAGCAGAAATCATTTATCAATTAGGTTTGGGTGCGATAACGATCGTGTTAACCTAATAATTGACCTGATAAAGAAGGAGGTCCTTAATTTTTTTTTCTTGATAGGAAACAATTTCATTGATGATATGAAATTGTACAAAATATCAACCCTATCCAATGAAGTTACAAAAAATTTCTCCAGTTCAATATAAGAAAACTCAAGCTGAGGTCCTTAATCTATTCAGAACTATCCATTCCAAGGACGGGGTCTTGATTCTTTTATGATGACCTTAACTGGTTGCAGTTTCATAGGAGGTTAAGGCATTTCTGTAGGGATATTTTATGGAATAAGAGGTCTCTAAAGATATCTCCAGCCTCAAGAATAGTAGGTCCCTAAGGCTGGATGGGTTTGCCTCCAAATTCTTTAAAAAGTCGTGGACGTCATCAAATTTGAAATTACGTTACGTTGATGTTCCACAAGTTTTTTCTTGATAACTGTCAATGCCAACTTAAATAAAACCTCTGTCCCTTTAGTACATAAAAAAGTTGATGTAAGGTAGGTTAATGATTTTTGGCTGATTAGTTTAACAATAGGCCTTATAAAATTCTTGCCAAGGACTTCTCTTATTTCTCCTATTTTTTAATATTGGAGAGAGTTATTTGATTTTATCTTTCTCGTTAAAATGCCATATTCTTCTATTATTTTATTTGTGTGAGTAATGTCTGAAACTAGAAGTATTAATAATTTAATACTCTAGTTTAAGGGTGTATTTGGGAGTGATTTTGGCCATGCCAAAATCAATTTTGCTCATTGTCAAAATCACCTCCCTTCCATGGATCATGTTTGACAATTTAAAAAATTGATTTTAAGAAAGCTTAAAATCACTTTAAATTGATTTTTAAGGTATCACTTGGATAGTCATTTTGTAAAATCAATCATACTTAAATCTCTTTTTTCAAAATCACTAATTCTATCATCACTCCCAAACACACCCTAAGTATTCTAGGGGCATTGAAGTGTGGTATTTGTTGAATACATGTACAAACATGTTAACCAAATTAGTATGTCCTTCATAGGATGTACGTTAGTCAAATGCTACAAATTTTTACTCGAGCGTCTTGCCTACTGCAACATTGTTTTAGCCTTTGTTATGCAGTTAGCTTTCACTTTCAGTTAAAATCTATGCTTATTTACTATTTGATCTTGATTTGAATAAACGTGTTAGTTGAGTTATTTTTTGGACCGACCAGGAAGCAGACTTGACAATGGTAAAAAAGGCTAAGATTCGGGAAGATTCTCTGGATCGAGAAGCTTCACTTCGACGAGCTCGACAGGAAGCATCTCTTGCTGATGGTATATCTTGGGGTATGGGAGAAGATGCTGTTGAAGAGGCTGAGGTTTGTGCAATGCTTCAACAAAAAACTCATTTAGATGCTTGTTGGATTTTCTTAGGCTACAAGTTATACTTCAATTGGACCATGTTTCTTTTATGGGGATTTAAGTAAATGTAGATTTTTGCAGCTGAGTACTTACTCTGTTATGAATATCTAGGATGAAGTTGAGGAAGTCACGTGGCAAACGTACAAAGGACAACTTACAGAAAAGCAGCAAAAAACTCGTGAAAAGGTTTTAAAAAGAACCGAAAAGGTTAGTCAATGTTATCCTTTTCGATCTTAGAATGATGTGAGACGATCAATATTTTCTCTACCACATGTTGCAACACAGATTATAACATCCCAAGGTGTTTTCTTTTGGCCTTTTGATGTTGTCTGGTTAAAAGAATCCCTTCTAAGTTGCACTTGTTTCTTTGGCCCTTAATTTTTGAAAGGTTGAATACTCGTAATAACTTGGAATACTGGACGGCTTGGTATGTTATTTATTATTTTGATTTTGGGCCGGTTGATTGTTTGTCTCTATTTGGTAGATACGTTTTGAAACTTGGAACTACGGTTTAAGCTTCTCTCTAGAAACGCATTTTTTATGATATAAAGCATTGTTATGATGTTCTTCCCCATCTGGGCATTCTTTTGCATGGCACATATTGTTCGATACAGATTGCTCATATGAGGAAAGAAATTGATGCAATTCGTGCTAAAGACATTGCTCAAGGTGGATTGACACAAGGGCAGCAAACTCAGATTGCTAGGAATGAACAAAGAATTACTCAGGTGAAAACTTAGCCCGGAATTAGTACTGCAATTTATTTTCTTTTTGCTTTACACAATGCCTAATGATTTTGGTACTACGATTTGATTTTTCTTATCTTTTGTCACAACATCATTTTAATTGTTTCTTCGCCTTCTAACAATAAATTTGGCAGATCTTGGAAGAACTCGAAAACTTGGAAGAGACACTGAATGATAGCATTAGGGAAAGTCTTGGTGCTCGTTCTGGGATCCGATCACGCGGTAAGAAGCAAGGAGTGGAAGACGATGAAGAACTTTTAAGGTACGTTCTATAAGGTGAATGTGAAGTCATATGTTTCTTTAGTATAAATCAAGATATGATATATATTTATTGAGGTAAATAGGATACAACTGACCCAATATGCTAGAATTATGGAGGCATTTTATAGAATAAAAGAATGCATAGCGACTTTGATAAAATTTTATGTTCTGTTTGATGTCATTTTTTCAGTGATGATGATGACTTCTATGACCGCACAAAGAAGGCTTCAAACAAAAAGGCTGGTGAAAACCAATCAGTTGAAACTGCTGATTCTCTACTTGATAAGAGAGATGCCATCATGAAAGAAATGGAAGAAAAAAGAGGATTGCTTTTGATTGAGGAGAAAAAAATGGAATCACCTACAGATTTGGAAACTGGCAATGATGCTCTTGATGCTTACATGTCAGGGCTTTCATCTCAACTAGGTTTGGTTCTCATGCGTTTAGTATACATACCTTGGTTCTGTTCCAATAGTCTTAGTTGTTCCTTTGCTTGAGTGTGGTTTTTACTTTCTTATGTTGTTATTTTTGTGCATATATTACACATATATATGAAACTACCAACACATTTTTTGTATCTAATAATCAATTAGCTGTAATAAACATTAAAAATTATGCCAATACTTTCCCTTTAAATGTGAGGGATGAGACCTTAACTATTTTGAGCAATAATTTTCGAAAGATATTATCTGCAGATTTATGTGGTTACGTTCTTGCAAAATGTTAGAGAACATTTCTTGTGACTGCTGATGTCGATTTGATTTTTGTTGGCAGTGCTTGACAAAACCACCAAACTACAGAATGAATTGTCGTCTCTTCAGCCAGAACTAGATAGAATTTTGTACCTGTTGAAAATTGCTGACCCGTCAGGAGAAGCTGCCAAGAAAAGGGATTCAGCTACGGCCAAGAAAAGTGATACAAAACTAGAAGAAGCAAAGCCTGAAAAATTAAAAGCCCCCCCATCTGTTAATGGGAAACCAAGGAAGGAGCCAATAAAAGACAGTGGTTCGGAAGAACGACTGGTAGATGCCAAACAAGAAGTGAAAACCACACAAGAAAGTGTTGAAACTGACCAGGCAGTTACCGAAAAGATTGTGGATGATACTAAAGATAAAAAAACTACCAGTTATACTGTTGTAAAGCCCCAGTGGCTTGGGGCAATTGAAGAAATGAAGTCAGAGGACGTTCAGAAGGATGCTGCACCATTGGATATACAAAACGAATCTGACGATTTTGTTGACTACAAAAACAGGAAAGAGGTTCTGGGAAGTTCTGTTGACCAGCCTGCAAGGGTGGATTCTGTGATTGAGAATGCTGCCCCAGGTTTGATTTTGAGAAAACGGAAGCAAGAAGAGAAATCTGACGGTCACTTGGATGCCTTGCAACAGTCAACATCATCTTCCGAGGCAGAGAGAGCAGAACTCAAGGCAGAAGATGCTGTGGCTTTGCTGTTAAAGCATAAAAGAGGGTATCATGGATCAGATGAGGAGGAACGACATGAAAGCAAACGCTCGACAGGCCGGAACAGATCAAAAAAGGATGAGAAGAAGTCCAAGAGGGTACTTGGTCCTGAAAAACCGTCATTTCTCGATACAAAAGCTGATTATGAATCATGGATTCCCCCTGAGGGTAAGTGTTTCAGTGACTTTATTGGTCCTACGTTAAATTTAGAACTTCTGCATTCTCTCTAATATTATGCTGAGTTATCTTTAACATATGCAGGACAATCAGGTGATGGAAGAACAGCATTAAATGAACGATATGGCTATTAATGTTCCCTTATTTCTCAAAACATTGATCTTAAATTGGGATTTCCCTCCCACTCTTGCTGGAAAGATGCAAATTACATCATCGATCCAGCTAACGAAGGAAGCGAGCTGATTATTCAACGCTACTGAGGCACATAGCTTTCGTTGGAATGTGTTGCATCAAATCCAAAAATCCAAGGAAGTTGAAATTCAGGCAAAGATGTTGATGAACTTTGGGATTGGCAAGCTTGGAAAAGTTGCTTAATCCGAGGGCAAGAGAAGATATAATTGGAGGACTTGTAAAAGTATATGCTCTCTTATTGTGGAAGGAGTAGTGTTGTAACATACAAGGGCAGTTCTTTTGTTCAAATAGGTAATGGTTCTTTAAGTCTCGATGCATAAATACCAGCTAACGGTACGGATCAGCTGTTACGTTCTTGGGGGTTATTATAGTTTTTTCCCCCAACTCCTTTGTATGAAGATCTGAGTGGGGATGAAGACTCTATATAGGAAAGAAGTAATTTTCTATTACCATTTATATCTATGGATTTGATAGAATCAATAGTATGACAAAAAAATTTGACAAAATATAAAAAGATGGTTATAATGTTAATATTAATAGATTTTTTTAATTTATTTAGAAAGTGTGAAATCCTTATTTGTTAATTTAAATATTCGTTATGAATTCATTATTATTTATAACTTTTTTGAAATACCTATTGATATAGATATTCTATCGATATTTTTATCGACATTTTTATAAAATTGAGATCTTGATATTTTTATTGATATTAACATTTAAAATTTTAATTATGATGTATTTTAAAAAGTCTCTAATAGATTTGAACTCATGTTGTGTTTATTCATGTTAAAAGGGTAAGATAGGTGTGAATGAGTTTAGCAAGCTTTGTGACTTTTCTTTTTCCTTGTATATTGATGAGTTTAACTTTATGATGTATTATGAACTTTATAGGTTAAATCATGCATTTTCATTCTTAAATTTTAAGAATTACATTTATTTAATCCTTATATTTTAAAATTTTTTGACAGGTCATCAAATTTATGGTATTATATTTACTTAATTTTTTTTTTTTGAGTTCAACAACATACGAGGTAGAGGTCCAAACTTCAATCGATATATATGTCTTAACCAATGTTTAATAAATTTTTAAACTTTCAACATCATCAAACAGATTCTTGCTATTAACTTTATTAATTTAATGTTTATGCCATTAAATGGTTGAACTTTTGAGCGTTTTTTAACAATAGATATTTGTTAGACAAAAAAAAAAGAGGTTAAAAATTTCATAGTTTATAAAGTATGGTGATAATATAGATTGTTTTATAGACCTATGCTCAACCAAAACTGCTAGACTTTTCTAAAGAACTTTATACCAATTACCCATCTTATGGTTAAATCATAATATGGTCTTAAAATTTTAGATTTGTGCCTATTTAGTTTCAATACTTCTAGAATAATCTTTAAAGTTTGGTTTATTCTTTATATTTTAGACGTTTATAATAATCTCAATTGTTGTCTCCATCATTTTAATGCTTAGGTCATTAAAGTTAGAACTTGTTTGAAATTAGACTGCCACGTAATTCTTAAATAATATAGTCAATGTGTTAGTAAGCATTAATTAATATAGTTAACTACATGAATTTAGACATAAAATTTAAAGTTCAAAGACTTGTTATAAATACAGCACCTTGCAAGTTCATAAACTAAACTTACCATTCAGTTTTTTTAGTACAACTACATGTAGGGGTGAAGATTCGAACTCACAACATTTTAGAGGGACATATATATGCTTTAACTAGTTGAGCTACGGTCAGACGTCAATTCAATCTTATCTTATAATTTTATGTTTGTTTGTGCACTACAAACTATACTATAAATTTCAATCTGAACATAACTTAATGAATAAGATACTTATTATCATATCGAAGATTCACGTCAATCCAAACATAACTTAACATATAAGATATTCATTACCGTCTTAAACATCAACGTCAATCCAAATATAGTATAACAAATAAGATACCCTATTACGACCATCTTATAGATTCATGTTAATTCGACCATAGTTCACTAGATAAAATATCTATTACCATCTGAAAAGCTACCGAATTTTTAGAGTTAGAATGCATATCAAAAATCCATGATGGGTAATAGTGATCCCAAGTCCCTAGACACCATGGAAAGCTGTAAAAGACACAAAGGTTTTAAGTTATTAGACCCAAATCCACTCCTCCCTGCTTCCAACTATTGAGTTATTTTTTATCAGTCGAGTGATAAAAAATATTGTGAAAAGAAATAATAAAATTATCAAATCTTGATTGTATAAACATCACATGGAAGTTCATCTGATATAGGTACAAAATTTAGTTCTATGTAGTAATCAACGAACAACTTAAACAACATTAAAAAGCTAGAAATTTATAAATCATGAAACTGAGTTTAGAAGATAAAAAGTGTAAAAGAACAATCTTATTCTGGAAAAATTAGGATTTGAACATCACACCAACATGTATATATTTAAGTAAAGAAAAATTTATTTTTATTGATTTATAATAAGTTTTTTTTGTATATTTATTTTATAAAAAAATTGACATATTTAGTAAAGAAAAAATTTATTCATGTATTTTTTTAATTAAATGAGTGTATATATAGAGTAAAATATTAAAAAAAGAATGCTGTGGGAATCAAACGCCAGCCGCCCAGGGGGGCTAGGGCCCCAACGCCGCTGCCCCAAATATTTTTCATTTCTAACGTATATGAATTTATTTTTGGATCCAAAAAGAAGAAAAAAAAAACTATTTTCTTTTTAAGATAAAGGAAAAAAAAAACTCATACATTAAGATATCATAACCTACTTTCATATCAAAAATATTTTTCGCTTCTAAATAATATGAAGGACTATATTTGCATCTTTTGAGTTTTTCATTAACTATTCTTATAGTTGTCGGCAAAACTCAACTACTTAATAAATTATTTATTTATTATTAAAAGATCATGAGTTCGAATCTCTATTCCCACGATTTAAAGTTCAAAATTCCCAATTTCTAAGTTCTATTGTTTTTATTTCTTTTGATCAAGCTTTTATTCATCTTGCAATACTTTTTTTCTTCTTCTTTTTAAAAATTAAGTTTAGAAACATTACTTTCACCCATGTGTTCATTTATTTTGTTATATAGTTTTTATAAACATTTTCAAAATCTAGATCAAGTCTTGAAAAAAAAATGTAGTTTTCAAAAAGTAGTTTGTGCTTTTTAAAATTTATCTAGAATTCAAATGTGTTTTCAAGTTAGGTAAAAATTTTACTAATGAAAGGGTAAAAGAAAATATAATTTTTAAAAATAGAAAACTAAAAATATATGTGATTATCAACCGCATGTTAGTATTTTACTATTTTTGAATCATTGTTTAAACAATATAATTTTTGGACATTTGACAACTCAAGCCGAAGAAACTTATATAGTAAATCACTTTTGGTCCCACCTCAACTAAAAAGTAATTTACTCCTCCACTCATTTAAACGAGCGGATAAAAAGGAAGAGCTCAATGAAACAGAAGTAGTTGTCGAGATATACATAAGATACTATTAGTTGCTCGACCAGAGCCGTACCCTAACTTTATTGCAACCTAAAAACTTCAGCAGATTGTAATTTGTATGAAATTCATGATGCATTTATTTGTGTCAAAAGTCCTAAATGCTTAACTATCAAGATTTCATTGTAAACATTTTCTTTCACAAGTTTTATTGTCTTTCCTCATTTTACAGTAATTAAGTTTAGTTTAGATGAGTAATGTTTTGCTTTTTTCCATTTTAGTTACCCTAAGTAGTTCAATTGATTATCATTGTTATATGAATCCTACGTTTAATTATTTATTTTAATATTTTGTAGAATATGTCAAAGCGAATATAGTTCGGTAATTGATATATATCTTCAATCAAAAGGTCGTGGATTCGATGTCCCACCCCACTTGTACTAAAAAAATATTTTTTAGAATATTATAATTAAAATAAAATGATACATTTTAGAATTTTTAATGTATAAAAGAGATTATTAATGTCTTTTTTTTTTGAAAGGATGTTAGTGTCTTGCCAAAACGAGAATAGCTCAGCGGTAATTGGCATATACCTCAAATCAAGAGGTTATGAAATTTCACTTTTTAATTTTGACTTTTTATACTAAATCATCAATAACAGCATTTCTATCAACTACAAAAGTTTGACAACTATTTATTTGTTTGGAAAAAAAAAAATCTATTTTCTCTCTTCTTTTATTCATTTCTCTATCTTACTGGTAAAAAATTTGACGAAGATAGTCAAAAGACTTTCTACGAACCTGTCAGTATCTAAATATATTTCTTTGAGGAGAATTAAATGAGACGTATACAAAAACGTAAAAGATGTCAAAGCGAATACAACTCAACTATAATAATTAGTATATATCTGAACCAAGAAGTGGTGAGTTTGATCTCCAAACATTGTACTAAAAAAATATAAAAAATGTACTACAAAACAAAAACTCGTTAGTTATTCAATTAAAGAGGGGGTTGTCGGTTGATTATTAATAATCCCTCNTTTAATTGGTGTACTAAAGTTTAATTTTTGGCCTTCTTTTATTGGACTTTCTAGTGTTTCAAAACTAAATAAGTGAAAAAAAAATGTTTGATAAAGGAAAATAAAAGAAAACAAGAACTTGGGAGGCCACGCCCTCGTGTTCTTCAAACCAAAAACATTAATGTATTAATCAAAGACATGTATTTAATTTAATTTTTTACGAAACATTATAATTAATTTGAATTAAATATAATTAAGAAAGAAATAGGGTTTTAGTAATTCGATAAAAACTCACTTGCAATGTTTCCCAAAGGCTCTTAATTTGATGCTTTTTAATTTTGGTATCCTCATTCTTCCCTCCTAACGATGCCTCTCTCTCTCTTGCTCTTCCTCTTTTCAGTATCCAATGCTTTCTCTCATTAATTTATTACCCCTTTACCACCTTCTAAATAATCAAAATACTATTCTTTTATCTATTCTTGTAATGTTTCCATTTTTCTATTTCTGTTTGGTAAAAAAAAAAATAATTTTGTCACATCGCTAAACTTTAGTATGTAATAATTTTGGTCTATTGTAAATTTTTTTGTTAAGTTTATCTTATATATGTACGACCAAAATAAACTGATGAGGGACCATAATGTATTTATAAATTACCAAGACTGGCTAAATCGTTGTGTGATAAGAATAGACACTTTAAACTTCATTGTTAAAAATTTTAAATTAGAAGGACTAAATCATTATAAATTAACTAAATTTTAGAGACTAAATCGTTACTTTAGTAAAAATGTGTTTTTTTATATTACCAATATCATTTTGAGTGCTTTTCATAAATAATTTTTCCAGTTTAGTTTGGATAAAAATGAAAATTTCCCAAATATAATGATTGAGAAATTAATTGTTTCCACTTTTTTACGGTAAATATTTTGTAAAAATGTATTTGGAAAGGTTGATTTTGTAAAATGGGGTTCAATGTAATAAAAGTGAAAGTTAAAGATTTAAAGAATTTAGTTAAGTGCATCAATAGAAAGAGAGCTAACCTACTTCACTGGTAATTGATATATATCGAAAGGTTGTGACTTTTTTACTGAAAAAATAAATAAATAAAAAGAATTTTAAAAAAAAAATATAACCATTTAGACCTTGTTTTCAATTTTATGTTTTTAAAAATTGTGCTCCCGATCATCATTGTTTTCTTCTGAACTGATTTGACTTCTTAACCAAATAATTTTAAAAATAAAACCAAGTTTCTAAACACTACTTTTTTTCAATTTTCAAAATTTGGAAACGAAATTACAAAGAAACACATGGAAGTAGTGGTTTTAAACTTAATTTATATATATATAAAAAACATAAAACTAAAATCGAAATGGTTAGCAAACGAACTCTCGATTTTTGATTTTCTGATTAGATCAAATAAATAAAGTACTTTAACAGACCTCCTAATATCTAAACTCAAATATAGTCTAATCGTAAATCTTGTATAGCCATATTTTACAAACAAATTTTTATAATGTTAATTTTGTATAATTAAAATTCCTAAAGTATGACTACCATAAATAGCTAAAGTACGTGCTCTAATGCTAAGAACTATTATATTGTATTTTATTATGTTATATTATAATATTATACATATTATATATGTAGAGCCATGAATCCGAATCATGATGTTACATTGATTACATTTACCGAACAGCTTGCTAAAATGGACCAAAAAGGAGTATTAAATAAAGTTTTTTTTTTTTTTGAAAGAAGTACTAAATAAAGTTGAGAAATAGAATGTTTACTTCTATGGGCAGTAAAATTAAGATTCAAACTTTTCGGCTAAAGTTAATGTTGTTTATAAATATCGTGGTAGAATTAAAATGTAATTGTAAGTTTGTGAATATATATATTTTTAAAGAATATTATATCACAAATTAGAGAGAAAAATATTTATATATATATATATATATATATATATATATATATAAAAAGAAAACCAAAATTTTAAAACAAAAGTAGGTTTTTATAAATATATGTTTTTTATTTTCAAAATTTGATAACAAGATAGGAATGCGCAGGTGGAAGCTAGTAGTGAGGGATGATATCAATGTTCATGGAGTTCGATCTCAAAATCAATTAACAACGAGCGAGAAGTAATCTATGTCTATCATAAACTTTCGTAAGGCCCTTTTTATTTTCAATGTGGGACGATCTTTAACATACATCTTCAAGATCGTAGCTCTTTTAGCTCATCGATTTTGGCCAATCTCCTTTTTGGACCGAACGCTCGCTTGAACTTTTTGACTTTGATGTCATGTTAACATATTAAACTACCAATTAATGAACCGAAAAGCTAAAGTTGATTAAGTTAGGGTAAATTTAATAATTTACATTGGATATCTAATTATTGTAAGCTTAATTTTAAAAAAACATAAAAAGTAAAAATAAAATGGTCAATTACCAGACCGGGTTTAAGTAAACTCCGTCTTGAAAAGTAGAAACATGAACAGCTGTGTGTTAACCTAACGATTTGAAAATCACCCAAAAAGATTCTGATGCCCCAAACATGAGAACAGGAAAAAGAAAAGTTTGACCACAAAAACCCTAACAGCCATGAAATTAAAGGACATGTTAATTAAATAAAATAATAAACAGACCATAATAAGAGATTTTATTTAAACAACATTCCTATTTATGTAAATGTGCTCTTTAATTATGACCAAATCTCTGACTTAGACCTCTCCCAAAACATTGACCTAGCTAGCTAGTTTGTGTCTTGGCTATGGCTACCCACTTGAGATTATAGTAATATTTGTGATCATGGATCAGCCACATCTCTTGATAATATATAAAAACTTGGCTTTATTAATTTTAAACATGTGATTCTGTAAAAGGGGGAAAAGAAAACCCAAATCCTACTTATGTTCAAATAATAACAATAAATAAATAAAGGATTTGTTTGATTGTGATTAGTTCGTTTTTAGTTTCGGTTAATATACTATTTTGGTTCCTGTGTTTTGCTTTTACTTCATTTTGGTCATTGTATTTTCAAAACGTCTATTTTAATATCTTTGTATTTTTAACTTTTGTTCATTCGAGTCCTTGTACGTTTGAAATGTTTTTGTTTTAGTCCTGTACGTTTAAAAGATGATGATTTTGGTTCTTGTTTGTAAAATATTAACAAAATTTTTATACACAATATAGAAACCTTTTAATACAAATTTATAATTATATTTCTAGAAATTTAAAGAGTGAAGAGTCGTGCTAAAATTTTGATTGGATCGAAACAATGATCAGAAAAAATGAAACTGAACAATGGATAGAAGTGGTCAATTTTTAAAAATACCAAAACAAAAATGTGGATATTTTGAAAGTATATGGACTAATTTAAACATATTTACAAATTTTAAGAACTACAAAACTTATACCAAGTAATTAGAAGAGATGAAGTGGTCACAAATGGCATACTCTTGGTTTTTCCTTGGATCAAAATTATAGAAAGGCTATTATTATATAATGAAGACTTCTCCAAAGTAGAGTTCATATATTCAACTAAGCAACCAAACTAAATTGTTCTAATCACTTTGCTTAACAAAAATTGATGAATTCTAAAGGCTGTTTTAGGTAACTTGTTTTGCTTTATAGTTTTCCAAAATCTATTTTTAGAAATGGTAATGCAAGTCATTTGTAAATATTAAGGTTATTATTGGACAGCTACTTACCAAAAATAGCAAGAAAAATTGTCATACCTTACATCTCTCTAAATAAGTAGAGACAAATAAAGAAATATAAGAGTATATGAAAAACCATCCATACAGTAACTTGATTCTAGTTTTTCCTTCTAGTATTTTGTTAATCTTGCATTTAAAGAAGTCTACACGTGTAAGAAGTAGAGTACACCAGAATGGAGAGTGTAAAGTAGCTATGCATTAACGATTTTCAAACGAAACCCGACTAGAGAGTGCAAAGTGATTCATTTTTTCCCACAAAACTGAAACAAAATCAACAAATTAAAGTAATTACAAACCAAAACCTACAAACCTAAGGATATTTTGTTTGATTACCATATACTAGGTGTGTTTGATTTTGCATGCGTATTTAAATAAACACAATTCCTTAATTTCTTAGCTATTGAGAGAGAGAGAGAGAGACATCCCTAAGCATGCATGTCAATTGAAGAGGGCTATGGAATCACAAAGACATCTTTTTTCCCCTTTAATTAATTCCTCTTCTCATGATTTGTTTTTATAAATTAAAACTTGGGTTTTGTTTTGTTTTGTTTCTTTGTTTAGATTTTCTAAGCTTTTGAAGGTACCAAGGAAAAAAAAACTATTTTTTTAGGGTAGGTGATTGGAAACCCTAGAAAAGCTTTGACTCTTTTTGCCTTTATCACACTCACAATACTCTTTATAAAAAACCATCCAAGGATCTCACTCTTTTCCCCTCTCTCTCTTTCTTTCTATCAAAATCCCAAAAACCCAACCAAAGGAATTAGAAAGAATAATCAAAGTGACACCATGAAGAAGAAGATGATGATAATGATCAAAATACCACTCATGAGCTTAGCCATTTGGCTTCTCTTCCTAATCTCTGTCTCCCATGCTCTCCCAGGTATCAATTTTACGATTAGTTTATTCTCGATCTCGAGTTACATTATTCCTCACACCTATCTTATTTTTCGGAAATCTTTGCTTTGTGTAGATAACTCAGACAAACAGTACTTGTCGCCTGCTGCAGTGAAATTTTCTGAATCGTCTTTAGAAGAGGTGATTTGTTAAGCTTTATTTTGCTAATCTTACAATTGCACAATCATTATTGATCCAAATAGCATCTAATTTTGTTTGGTTTTTTTGGGTTTTAGGAGGAAACCCTTGTGGGGTTGGATGCCATTGGCTTGAGGAAAATGGGGAATGGAAGAAAGAGAGTGGCAGTGAAGAGAATGATGAGGAAATTAGAGATTGCTACCGATGATGATCAGAGAGAAGAAGAACAAGATCAAGAAAGTTCAAGAATTATTTCAGGTGCAAACCACTCTGATAGATCAACATGCAACTTTGAAGATCAAAAGGGAGATCATTTTGGAGTTAGTAGAAAAATGGGTGACAAAAATTGTAAAAAAAGCCTCAATGTTGGTGGGTTTGCAACATTTGGTGCAGATTATAAAGGCCCTTTTCACCATCCTCCTAAACATAACTGATCAGTTGGCTAGCTAGGGCAAAAAAGAAAAAAAAAACCATATTTTGGACCCCTTTTTATAGGATCTTCTTTTTGGTTTTGTGTTAATTAGTCTAGCAAAATGGGTCCAATGATATATATATTGATATAACATATATATATGTGTGTGTTGAATGAAATTATTTTGTAATACCATCAATTATTCTTCTTCTCTAAAGTTTCCAGACATTGCAAGAAGAGCTTCAAAATGTTCATTATCAATCTTCATATGTATGTAACCAAAATTTTATCAAGTACTCAAAAGCAATATATATATATACTTGTAAATAATTAGCAATTCATTGTCTGATGCAGGACTAAAGAAAAAGAGTTCTCTTCAAACATCTCAAGTTAAAGATCAGGTCTCTCTCACCCTCTCCGTCTATCATTTCTCTTATTTTCGAGTTCGAACAAAGGGGCGTGGGAGTGAAAGTTCGAACTTTTGAACTTTAGAGTTGAATTTAGGTTCATGATATATAGCTTCATGATATGATCGTTGATATAACAGACAATAACTTATGCTGTTTCTTTGACGCACAGGAGCCGAGTACTATCAACGCAAAGAGATCAAGAAATTCTAACCATCTTAAAGCAAAATCGTCCGGTTCGTCGAAGGCGAGAGACGAGGAAACTCGAAGGCTTCTCAAGGCAGCCAAAGAGATAGCCAATTTGATGCACAAAGATTATAAAGATTGGGCTCACCGCAAGCCCCCAATCAACAACCAAGAACCTTTGCATTAAGAAAAACAAAAGCCCCCCTTTATAGTTTATAGTTTAGGTTCTTAGCTAGGCTCGCAAATTTTGCCCCCCCATATATAGAAAGTGTAGCCCTTCTTCATTTACATAGCCTTTTTTTAGCCTATAATATATATCATATAGTTATATAAGCACGAGAACTCTTAGGATATGCTGTTGATTTAGTTTTCCTTTTTTTTTCCTTATTCTATATCATATTATATATAGGTTGTGACATATACAATGGAACTAAGCAATACCTATATGTTATGTGTAAATTAGTGTAGCAATTTTTTCTGTTTTGTTTGTGGCTTAAGATAAGTTGTTGTATCAGCTCCACTCTTGCAACTTCTTTGTTTTACCAATCAAGATAAGCAATTTTGTGAATCAAAGAGAGAGATCATGAGTACTCCAAATTATTACAAAGTTTTTCCGAGCTCTGCACTGGCAAATGTTGAGTGTTTTTTGGTATCATATTATATTTAAATCATCCTCAAAAGATGGAGCACAGCCCCCTAGAAGCAAGCAAGCAATCTCTACATATGATTTGAGTGTGTGTCCACAAAAAACAAGATTAGAAGAAACGTATATAGATAGTTGTTTGATTACTACAAATTAAAAGAAAACAAAACAAATTAATAAAATCCTTAAGCAAAAGACACACTCCAAATCAATGCCCCGTCACGAAAAGTGGAATTCGTGATGGTTAATAAACATCATGAATAACAAAAGTTCTCGTGACGATTATAAAACATCATGAAAAAGTAACCATCATGAGAAAAAATGAATTCCGTACGTGATGTTTAAAAAATATCACGGCAAAAGAGATGTCGTGATGGATTTAGATCGTCTTATGACGGTTATGTAGTGTGCTTTTTCATTGCTACAGTGTTGGGAGTCCATGACGACAAATTTAAATAAAGATATAAGTGAACAAAATAAAAAGAATGTCACACATTGTTATATTGGTGTGTTTTTTGTGAGAAAAAAAATGATGAGTTGCATAACAATGCATAGATTCGAACAGTAGACCTCTCACTCTGATACCATATTAAGGATGAATAAATCACCACTCAACTCAAAAGCTTAAGTTAATGGGTTAGGTAAATTTAATTCATTTATGGATATCTAATAAAAATAATACATGAAAGAGAGAAATAAAAATGTCTGTGCTTTCAAAGTACAGGACGACCATTGACTAATTAAATGGACCTAGGAGGACAAGAAAGGAAGGGGATCCCTATTCCTGTCTGTCCAATTTCTTACAATAAAGATTCTATTTTTATAGCCAAAGATGTTCTTAAAACAACCGAAACTTTCACTTTCTTCCAATGCAATAAGTTGTCCCCATTTCCCCAATAATTCATACTAATTTCAGCTATTGATATTTATCACTGTTGATGAAACATAATATTCAACATAGATATCGGGATCGAGATTGTCACGAGCTAGTGACATGCTCGCCTTTTGATATGCTTCATCTTTAAAATATCTCAAGTAAGATCTTACTAATTTTAGTGGGATTGAGATTTTTTTTTAAGAAAATTAATTCATAAATAATGAGGTAGAAGTTCAAAACTATGATTTTATAAGAATTGAGACGATAAAAAAAAAATATTTTATTACGTTCGAGTTGTAACCCTGAAATTAAGAGTGAAAAACTTTAGAATAGTATACTCATATATTAAATATGAGTCACCCTCGGGAGATATATCTAGTAACCTACTTCAAATTGTTTCTCATGGATTATATCTATTTTTATTTTGATAATAATTCAATTTTCTAAAATTTTGGTCTTGTCTCTATGGAACACAAGCACGGCTGAATTTCCTCATGTAAGCTTGGGGAAGGGATAAATTTTTGTGGGCTCACTCAACCGACGGACAGTACACTGTGAAAATCCTCCAAGGCTTTCTAGTGTCCCCTTCTGCAGAAATTAACTCAGTTTTATACAAGAATTTGTGGGATTCTATCTATCCAAAGAAGTGTAAATTCTTCATATGGTGTGTGAGTAGGTGTGTTGTTACTCACAGAAGCATCAACATGGCCAATCGGATTCAATCACGCATGAAATCCCTCTACCTCAACCAAAATTGATGTGTCTTACGTAGAAAGAGCAACGAAACTTTAGATCATTTGTTCCTACATTTGGAAGCCCCTTTAGCTTACTCAATGAATTGATGGTATCTTTGTTTTAAAAAAAAATGGAATTATTTATATAGTAAATAATGGCCATGTAATAATAGAATTCCAAATTGGTGCAGTGGTGCAAGGATTGTAGCTCCCTTAGATATTGACCATTCACCCAACATTAAATTTTGACAAATAAAATAAAGGAATATAGAAAGAGATAACTCTTTTATTTTTTTCTGCCAAAACAAACATAGTTCAGCGGTAATTGGCAGATGAGTTCAAATTCCCTCCCCAATATGTTGTACTAAAAAAAACTATTTTATCTTTTATTTTTTTAAATACCATTAAATTTTTAGTGATGGTCACTGAAGTGAGAGGGTAGCCATGGAAACTATCAAATTTGGTATGTATCAAAATAGAGGAAATTAAATTAAAGTTGAGAGCTTTCCCTTGAAAACAAGATTGGACATTTTTCAAAAGTAAAGCCCAATTGGAAAATTCAATAGTTGGGTTTGAGGGACCCAGCTGAGAAGTCTTCGAAATCATACTTGTACAAGAAATAACTCCATTTCACATTTTTATATTTAATTATATTAAATACTTAAGTTACGATTTTATTTATTCTTTAATCCCACATTTTCTAATTAAATATTAATAATTTATTTTAGTATAATATATGAAGATGAAGATTCGAATTCACGACTTTTTGATTCGAAATAAATATCTTTAACCAGTTGAGCTATATACAAGTGAACAATTAAAATATTAATGATTTAAGCAAGGGAAGTATCAAAATTTTCATGCTAATATCATATGTCATTGCAATATGCTAAAAGGGCACCAACAGATTAAAATATGTTGATATAGAATTTGGAATTTTTAATAATTAATTACCAAACTATAGCAAATTATTGTGTCAGATAAGAGTTGAAGAAGCTCGAAATATTCAAAATTAATTTTTTTACCTTTAACATTTCAAGAAATTTTAGATGATTTCTTACCGATGAAAACGGATCAAGCTAATCTCTCTATTTATAGGGTTTTAGGTGCATCTTACATGGTTTTGGACTTGATTGACTTTGAGTCTAATTGCCACGTGACATAATCTGACTAGACTAGTTTATGACAGATGGTTATATAATAAACATGTGATATTGTCCATAATTCAGCGGTAATTGACGTATATTTCCAATCAATAGGTTGTGAGTTCAATTCCCCACCCACACACGTTGTACTAAGAAAAAAATTAAAACATTTTAAACAATTACAACTAAATTGAAAAAACACTAAGGGACTTAAAACACACATTTATTTGACCCTGTCAGTATTGTATGTCAGATTTTAAATTTCCTAGTGTTATGCCTTGCACGTTGTATCTCAATTTTATTTTATATATTAATGTTAATTTTACTTTAAATAGTTCTAATTACATCCTTGTACAATATTATAATTTTAACTAGCCTATGTCATTAAAATCATAGAGTAATTAAGTGACATGCCCATTAATCTGTATAGTTGTCATAACATCTCATTCTTGCAGGAAGTTAAATATGTTTGAAGATAACCAAGTTATAATTATAGTAACATATCAACCCGAGTATAGCTAAATGGATAAAGATAACACTAATGTGAGCTTAATTCTAACAATAAATGACATCTATTATTTATTTTGAGGTCGGAAGTTCAAACTTCCATACACCCAATTTGTTGAAAAAAAATGGATAAGAAGAACCTGTAGCCTCCCATAATAATGAAAAGTTCATCTTCCACCCATAATTTTTTTTTTTAATACAACATGTTGGAGAGGGGATTCAAACTCACAACTTTTTGGTTAGACGTATATGTCAATTACCGCTGAACTATGCTCGCTTTGACCCACAATTGTTGAAAGTAATTTAAAGATGAAAAAACACATGAAAATTTTCAATGAAATCTATAATGAAGTCAAACATATTCCTAATTTAAATAAAGAAACAAATACTTGTCATATTTGAATTATATGGCATGATATAAAAAGCTAGTCTAAAATTAAAACAACCAATAGCATATACTTATAGGTATGGAAATTGTCCCATGTCTAATGGTTAGTGTTTGGTCCCATCCTCATTTACTCAATTTAATGAACAAAATAAAAAGACAACAACCCACCATTAAATTATCATAAAGACACTACTTAGGAAAATCTTGAATTTTAAAGCAACAATATGATCATCTCCTCTTTTTTGCACACACATGTCTTTTAATGGAATTGACTACTTTCTAAAAATTAGTAGATATTAATTAATTACATAGTTGTTGATGTGAAACTACCTTTTTCTCCTTCCCTTTTTGTGGATTTAGAATATGGAAAAAAAAAAAAAGTAAGCAAAAGCATTGCCTCTCCAAGAGTGGCAAAAGGGGCAATTTGACAAAGTGGAAAATCCTTTCTTCTTTTCTTTTGGATATATAAAATTTGGAAGTTTTTGAACTGAGATTTTGTTTTCTAATTTTTGAATATCAAATTTTATCTTGAATATGTTTTGATGGCAAAAATTTTTCTCCTCCCTAATCTTTTAGAAAATGTTTAGTTTTATTTCTCTCATGGTTGGATATATCAAGTTTTTATCATAAAAGATTTATTGATAAAATAATGATGTGACATTCATATATATTTTGTTAATTAAGTTGGAAATAGTATATATATTTAAATTTAAATTAAATAAATATGTCTAGCTGTCCATGAAGTTGATAATCTATCAACTTCGTAAAATTTATTAAAAATGTTACTAAATTAATAATTGATATAGCCTCGTTAAAAATGCAATTATTTTTTTTTTAAAATTCATGTCTTCTTTCTTTTAATGTTTGGGACCGTAATGGCTTTGAAAAAAAAAAGCAATACATAAATTATGAAAATGGAAATTTAAAAGAATGGAGATGAAAATTGAAATATATGATAAAATTATATGTTTAACCCATCATTTTTAGACTGAAAAGATTTTGTTATTTTCATGATTTTTTTAGTTATTATATAAATAATTAATCATAAACATATACATCAAATACTTTTTTAAGTAATTGAGACTTGAATGCATTATATTGTTAATACCATAATAAAAATAAATAAATATCTTTCCAAACAATTCTTTACATTAAAACAAAGGCACATGTAAAAATAGGTCTAGAAATTAATTGTTTAAAACAATTTTCTTGAAATACTTTCTAATAGTTAAATAGTAGCATTAGATAATTTGGAATAATTTGAACACTTGTTGGAATTTTTAGGATTATATAAAGTTTAAACTAAAAGACAAAGGACATGGAATGTTTTTTGTCTTACCATGGAAAATAATTATGAGATATTGATTAGTCAACCAAAAGGCTAATCAGTTTTTGCCCTTTAATTTTCTCTATTATAAAGTGTGTGTTAATAGGCCTCTTCTTGTAAAGGTTAAAAGGATAATATATTTGCTTGTTTTCTTTACTTAGCTGCAAATATGTGCACTTATTGCTATAATATATCACACTAATCTACTTTCTTTTGCATAGTCCTTATTAGTGGACAAAGTCTTTTATTTTGGGAGTTATATTCTTTTGAAATGTCAACAAAGTATACTCTATATCAAAAAATGTGTTGAATTAATAAASTGGAGTTGATATTTAACATTCAAAAGATGTTTAATTGGTAAAAAATAATAATTTCTAAGTTCCATTGAAAAACAGTGAGATATCCATAAAATTAGGAGATTGGTTGATCAGAATGTTTCGGATTAAGGCATTTCATAAAGTTCTTCTCGACCCTTCTGCACTGGTCCTCTCTGATCCCAATTTTTGATCAACAGGTAGGGTTCGATCTAAGGTTGCTTATTCATGTTGTAAAGTAGAATTTTAGTCCATGAACTTTCAAGTATGTGACTAATAGGTCTTTGAATTTTAAAAAGCGTGTAATATGTTTTAAAATTTTAAATTTATGTCTAATATATTTTTGAACTTTTAATTTTAGGTGTAATATGCTCTAGACTTATTCGACATTTGTAGAAATTGACCAATTTATTCAACATAAAATTGAATTTGTTTCTAATTGGATCTTTAACTTTCAATTTGTGCCTAATAAGTCTTGAATTTTAGAAAATGTCGATTAGGTCAATGACAAATTAGATTAAAAAAAATGAAAGTAGAACGTCATGTTGAACACAAAATTGAAAGTTTAAAAACTTAGTAATTATAAATTTAAAAGTTCATGTACTGAGTACAATTAATCTGCTGTCATTTGATTATTCAAATTTAGTATGACTTAGATTGTTTTTTTAAGAAGTAAAATTTTAAAATATTGTAATGAAATTGAAACATAATGTAAATTTGAGCTATTACTTAATTACAAACCTGCTCATTTTCCCCTATTTTTTACCGAATCCTAAACTTGTATAAAATCAACTAGTACATTCAACTAACCAAAAATAATAATAATATTATTAGGTTATTGTCATATAAATAAATAAACAATTGTGTTCACATATTCCATAATCTATGACATTCAAATTTGACCAAATAAGAGAGATCAAATTGATACTTTTATAAAACCACAAAGATTCAGTCGAAATTGTTCTCAAACCATATCGACAAAATCAAAACTTTAAAAAGTAAAAACACCAAATGTCATCATTTGAGCCTCAAACTGGAATGTTGTTCTACTAAATCAGTCAATGCTACCTAGCTAATAAGTTTCATTAAATTAAGAATCCTAAAGTTTGAGACATTCTTGAATCCAATGTGACAAAGAAAGAAATCTATGAAGCTATAAAGTCATAAAAGAAAAAAGTTCCCTAAGGTCACATGAGAGGAAAAAAGGCTATGGTATCATGTGATCACACTGCTTTCAAGTTTAAAGGCAAAAAAAAGGACCCTCCTTTATTACTTGGTCTTGTCCATAATCAAGTGTCCTAAAACAATCCACCAAGATTTTGCTTAATTACCCACAAAAATGAAAAAAGACTCTTTTTTGCTTGATCTCTCTCGCTCAATTGTTGCTCCCACGTGCTATTTTGGTCTCCCCCGGCCCCCTCTCCCTCTGTCGCGGTTCACTCAACAAATTCTCTACTAAGTTTCTTCTTCCACTGCTCCTCCGTCGTCTTCCTCCTCTGCCCTGAAGCTCTGTAGGGAGAGAAAATTGCTTTAGGAGAGAGAGAGATGCAATGAAAGGGAAGGGGGAAATGGTGTTGAAATCGAGGATGAAATGGGTGGGTTTGGTGGGTCTTGTTCTTTCAGCTTTCTCCCTCTTCACCCACTTCTTTCTGACTAGATTCACGCAAGAGGGCATTTCTGAGTTCCAATCCTCTGTTACAATCTTCTCATGGAGGCCTGTGTTTGAACATGCAGACTTTTCCCCAACTGTAAGATCTCATCTCTCGTATTGTTTCTGGAGGATCTTGCTTTTCGTTTTTCTTTAGAATAAGAAATGGGTTTCTGCTGTGAACTTGAAATAGCCTCAAATCTGGATTCTCTGTTGCTCTGTTTTGGAGATTTGCTTAGAAATTTTGTCTTCCTTTGAAATTGGTATCTTGTTTCGTGTTTTTCAGTCGGTTTTTGGGTGCATTTTACATGGTTCTGCGATTGCAGTATCTTATTGTTTGATGCTGTTTTTGTTCTTTGTCCTAATTGGGGTTCAGAGTCCTTTGTTTAGACGCCTTTGGGGCCCAGTTAGGCGGCTGGAGTCCTTGCATCCTGATGCAAATCCTAGACAACACTATTCTGGTATGGCCTCTTCTGCACCTTCAATTGCCTGTTTGCCACTTATTGTTACTGCAGATTTTCATCTTATAGAGAGATCGAATCAGGTTTAAATCCTATGTTGCTTCCTCAACTTTCACGCTTATTCCTTTTTGGTGACTTTTAAGTTAAATTAGAACTTTCTGGTTCAGCCTAGACTTTTAAAAGTGTCTAATAGACTCCTTAACTTTTTTAATTCTGTGTCTATGTTAAGGACTATTGGCTATTAGACATGAAATTGAAAAGTCAATGACTCATTGGACACTTTTAAAGTTCAAGGATCTATTAGTGTCTAATAGGACCCTGAGCTCTCAGTTTTGAGTCTAATAATTTTGTGAATTTTAAAAAATGTCGAATAGGTCAATGATCAAACATACAATGATACAAAATTGGAAGTTCAAGACACAAAATACAGAGTTTAAGGACCTATTAGACACTTAAAGTTCATGTACTTATTAGATACAAAATTATAAGTTCAAGGACCTATTAAGCATTTTTATAAGTTCAAGGACTTGTTAGAACCTACCTAAACGTCTAGGGACTAAACTTGTAATTTGACCAACTTTTAAATGTTTTGTTTATGTAAAAAGTCATTTTAGTCTTTAGCAAAAACTTGACATGAGATATCTTTTTGTTTACAGAAAGGACTAAAATATTATTTTGTGCAAAGGTTAGGGACTAGTCATACTATTTGAAAGTTTAAGCAGCAAAATGAATAAGCATAGAAGGTTTAGGAACCGATTTAGAGTTTTATGCCTTCAGAGAGTGCTTGTATAGGTCCTGTCCTGTCTTCCTATAGCTCTAAAACTGTACGTCGAGAAAGAAACAACAAAGTCTTAGAGAGATCATGCTTGGGATTTAATCTTCTGATTATTCAAGGCATTAAAAAGGTACTAGTAACGGTTCAGTCTGACCAAAAGGATTCTTTCCCCTGTCTAAAGCATGTAAAGTTTAGAATTAGCTTAGACCCTTTCTACTGAGAACCGGTACCCTTTGGTAGTGATATTGTTGGGAAAATAGTATAAATTATTAGTTTTTTAAGTAGGAGCTTCTTCTTCTTCAATGACCATCTGTGATTACCGTGTCTAATAGTTATACTCATATTGCTTCACCCAAATCAGAATCTTGATTTTGTTTTGTGCTCACACTAAGCGAAAATATATTTACCTGTTATTCTCCATGATGTATATATTTGTTGCCTTTCAATTCCGAAGAGCTGTATTTAAAAGAATGCATTCCTGAACTAATCATGTCAGCAGATCCCTCATTACAATCAAATGGATTTATCTTTGTCCGGATACAGGGTGGATTCCATGATATCAGGAATTCGGTAAGCATGTAATGGTTTATTCTCTTTTATGATATTAATATCAGGTTATGGTAGCAAACTGAAGGAATTGCAAATGCTTGGTCTTCTAGATATGTGATGTTGTTGTTGTTGCCCGGCTACTTAATGCTACCTTAGTAATTCCCGAGATTCAATCAACCACAAGCAGCAAAGGAATCAGGTTTGAACTGTTCCAATCCTTATTATATTGCCTCTCTTCACGGCTTGAAAAAGTACTCTTTAAATAGAAGTTGTCTAATTATTTTCATGCAGCTCCCAGTTCAAGAGTTTTGCTTACCTCTATAATGAGGATCAGTTCATTGCAGCCTTGACTCGAGATGTTAAAATCGTGAAGACACTTCCAAGAAATCTGAATGGTGCTCGGAGGAAAAAGGAGATTCCGCGATTTAAAGCCCCTTACTTAGCATCTCCATATTTTTATCGGCACCATGTTCTTCCTGTTCTAAAGAAGCACTCGGTGGTCGAGCTAGTCATCCCTGATGGTGGATGCTTGCAGGCAATGACTACTCTTTGCACTCATTCAAAATATTTGCAACTTTCTCTTCAATAAGATATGCTGCATGCAAATTTTAACTTATATAACGACATTGTGGGTTTGATGTTATTGGACTCATAATATAGTTCATGTTCTATTTTCCGAAATGTTTTATGTAATCTTGGATTCTTGTTGAAGATATTAAATTTAGTTGTTGGTTAGAGGGTTAGAAGTAAAGGTTTGCAAACTAGGGGCTACTTGGATGACTATTTTGAAAATTTTAATATCTTTCTTTTTTTTGGATGATGGTTCTGCCATTTTTCTGCCGTATGATTTGATCAATCGCGTTGAAAATTTTAATATCTTAAAATATCTTTTGAGGACTTTTCTGCGAATATTATTTCTTTTGTCTTGATGAAAGCTCGATTTTCCACTAAACTAAGTGCTTCGAATCTCATAGATTGTACTCTTTTCTGGTCCAGGCTATCCTTCCTCCTGATCTTGAAGAGTATCAAAGATTGAGATGTAGAGTTGCTTTTCATGCTCTTAGATTCAGAGTGGAAGTTCAGGATCTTGCCACCAAAATTCTGCATAGGTAAATATTTGAAATGCTTCCAACGGTTCTCGAAACTGTCTCCTTATGCCAAATTCTTCATGTAGATTACGAGCTCCAGGCAGGCCTTTTATAGCCTACTATCCGGGAATGACCCGAGAGGCCTTAGCATATTATGGTTGTGCCGAACTGTTTCAGGTAACATTATTTGAATCTCAAATACACAAGTTATACCTTTTGGGGATCTATCCTGACGTCTGGTGTGTGTGTTTGTTTTGGACTGAAAACCAGGATGTACATAATGAGCTCATTCAGCACAAAAGATTATGGATGCGAAGGCGTGGGATCGTCAAGGGGAAGCTTTCGGTGAATTCTGAGGAACAACGACTTAATGGTTCTTGTCCACTAATGCCAGAAGAGGTAAGCAATCAAGGTCAAGTTGATATTGTTTGGAGCAAATGGTTAGATAAAAATGTAGAATTTGGTGCCTTTCAATCTTCAGTGCTCATCAATACTCATCTTTTATAGGTTGGAATTCTTCTCCGTGCTCATGGATATTCGTGGGACACCATTATATACGTCTCAGGCGGAGAAGTTTTTGGTGGACAAAGAACCTTGACTCCTCTCCATGCTATTTTTGAGAATGTTGTTGATAGGACTTCCCTCAGCACCCCATGGGAACTTAATCGGCTTTATGGTCGTGAGATTAATGTCAATAGCAACTATCCAAGGTCTCCACCTTCCATTTTGAAGGATTCAAAGCCCAATGCATGGAAGACCGATGGTCCACGTCCTCGCCCGTTGCCACCACCGCCAGCAAGGCCAAAGTATCCACATAACATCGAAGGTTGGTGGGGTTGGGTGGCTGAGAGTGACAATGAGCCTGAAAGTACCGTGATGGAGTTGAGAACCAATGCCCATAAATTGCTTTGGGAAGCAATAGACTATCTGGTATCTGTTGAAGCTGATGTTTTTATCCCTGGGTTCGATCGCGATGGCAAGGGGCATCCAAATTTTGCGAGCTTGGTGATGGGCCACAGGCTTTATCAGTCAGCTTCCCTCAAAACATACCGGCCTGACAGGTATCGGTCTTTCTATATTGACGTATTGACCAAACGTGGATTGCTTTCTTCTTCTATATCCCCTCCACCCCAAGTTAATTCTACAATGCTTTTGTCAATGCAGAAGAGAAGTGGCAGCTCTCTTAGCAGAAACCAGAGACCACCTATATCACGCAAACTATACGTGGCTGAGATCAATTCGTCGACATCTGAGAAAGTCCGTACTCAACAGCCTGATGGAAGCATCGACAAGATCAAGGTCATTATCTTTTCTATCTCATCCAGTCCCTGAATGTTCTTGCTCAAGACAGGACTCAGACCGTGCTTCAAGTCCTTCGACGATGACAACGACAACTCAATTGCAAGCTCAGGCTGGTGGTCTAGGAGTTGTGCACCGTTGTCCTGCTTGGATGCGAAGTGAGTTGCGATCGAAAGATAAGCAAAGTGAAGACGATAGCGACGAAGATGAGCCAACATCGGAATCGTTTTTTGGGTACAGTAGTGAAAACCGGGTAGAGGGAAGTGGAGAGTTGAACAGTAAGGAAGCTATTTTGCTGAATGATCAAGAGGAACTTGATGGAGGAGAGAGATAACAAGAAACTGAATTACTTGAAATTGGTAGCAACAATTTTGTAATGCTCATAGTGATCAAATTGCCTGCAAAAATGGTTGACAAGTTTAATGATTATGCAACAGCTAGGCCATTCTTTGGATAAGTAGCAGGTTCTTTAACTGGTTACTAGGCTACTAGGATTCTAGAGCACTGGGTTCAGCTTCCTTTTTTTGAATGTTCTGATCCATTAGCTCTGGTTTTAAGGTTTTTTTTTTTCTTTTCCTTTTGAGTTCATGAATGTCGGGGTGGGGATTCGTAACTTCGGTCTTAAGGGGAGGTATAGATGTCTTAACTTTCGACCTCTGGTTTGAAGCTTCGTTTCGTACATTTCATGTAAATTTTCTGGTGCTTGTTTTGAAAGAAAATCTTAGGCTTGTAAAATGATTCTGGTTAAATTTAATCTTTTAATTATATTCTTAAGTATCTTTTTCTTTTGTCAATTTTCAGCTTTTGTATCTAAATAGGTTCTTGATCTAAACGACATTTTTAAAAACTCGTATACTAATTAGACAAAATTTGAAAGTTGAAGGTTCTATTCGGCGTAAAATTCAATTTTATAATCAATTTTATGTTTATTAGATCTTGACATTAGAAATCTATCAGACATAAAATTAAAAATTTAGGAATCTATTAAATACTTTTAAAGTTCAATGACTTACCCTAAAATTGAAGGTTTAAGAGTCTATTATACACAGACTCGAAAATTTAAAAGGTGAATTACATCCTAATTAAATAAATAAATTTTCTACCTCCTCTACATTTAAAAAAAAATGGTATAATTTTTTACTTTTCTTTTTTTAGACGGTTGAATTCCTGCAAATTTCTCCTAAATTATGAAGTACCATGTCACATAAGTTTATAACCAATCGAATTTAACATCCAGCAGTTGAAATAGTATAATTGAAAAATGTCATAATCTAAATGACTATATTAAAACTTTCTAAACAATAGTCTAAATTGAAAAACATTCATGACTGATGAGGGACTAAATTAAAACTTTTTAAATAGTAGACTAAATTGAAAAATACCCTTAACATTAATTAGGAGCTAATATATATGGGTGCAAAAAGTAAACTTTTTAAAACTTTATGTGATATATGTCTTATTTTTTGTTAGTGGAGAAAAAAAGGACAACTAGTGGAGTTGTTCAACTAAAACATAATGAACAATACAATAGAGGGATATTTGGAAACAGCTATAGAAAAGAAAAATTAATAATTTATGCTTGAGAAGATTAAGGTGGGAGGAATAGTGTTGAAAAAAAATGTTAACTTTTTAAACATTTTTAATAAAAAAAAAGTATGCTTAAGTTTATTTTAAAAAATTAAAATAATTCCCTAAACTTGAAAAAGTATTCAAATATTTTTAAGAACAAATAATAAACCTATAAACAATGTGGGTTTTTGGTTTTAAAATAAGTTAGGTAGTAACTTTTCTATTTTTGTTTTTTATTTTTAATTTTTTAATAAATAAAAAAATTGTGTTTAGTAACTATTTTTGGCTTTTAATTCTTTCTTCTTTTATTGAAAGATAAGTATAAATAATATTGGTAACTATTTCGTGATTAGTAAAATTTTAAATTAAAAAATTAATTTTTATATGAAAATCAATTTTTTAAATTAAATATTCAATTCTTTATATTATTTTTTTAATATCTATTATGCATTTTGTAATTCAATAATGATAAAATAAACTCTTATTTGTGATTTGAAAAAAAAATGAAAATTAGAACGAGAAACAAGAAATTGTTTTGTTGCTTTCATAACTTTTTTACATAAGGTTAAAAATGATATCTTAAAAATAGAAAATGATAAACAAGAATAGCCATCAAATGCTTACATTTATCAAAAATTGAAAATCATAAACAACAAGAAACGTAAAGGTCAACAAATTTACCCTTAACTAATTGCAAGCCACTTGCTTGATTTATTATCTTTGAAATACCTATAAATAGTGAAGTAATAAAATTTTGGTCTCTATACTTCCCATTTTGGTTCATTTTGGTCCTTACACCTTTAAAATGTTTATTTTGATCAATGTATTTTTAAATTTGATTCATTTTAGTCAATGTAATTTTAAACTAGTGATTATTATAGTCCTTTAATTTTATTTTTAATCTCATTTTTTCTATCACAATTCCGACATAACACTACAATCAATATATTTCTTGAAATATAACCATGACTTTATATGGAAGGTTTCCAGTTATGTGTAATACTCTGTGTTAAAATTTTACAAATAAAGGCTATAATGATCATAAATGTTTAAAAACTCTAATATTTATACATTTGTCAACATAAAGACCGGTTTACGATGGATCCCATGTGAGAATTGCCAAGCTGTACCTATATTTATATATTTTTAATAAATAAATAAAAGCTTAAACCTTAAATCCTAACGACATTTTATCTTTTTAATCGCTAAATTCTATACTCGAAAAAATCAAGGAAGAGCCGTTGAAAAATTAAGTAGGAGTATATGCATGGATTAGTTACTATATTTTAAAATATTATAATTCAATAATTAATATAATATTTGTATTAAATCATTCTCCATTCTCACTGAGAAAGAATACATTTTAAAATATATAATGTAATGACATTTATTGAGAGCAATTAGGAAAAAAAGACTTATTTGAATTCTAAAAATCTAGATTCGTGGATATTTAAAATGATGAACATTTCTGAAAAGAAAAGAAAAGAAATTCTCCAAAATCAAGGAAAAGCCCAAGCCCAAGCCCAAGCCCAAGCCCAGGCCCAGGCCCAATGTGAGGGTCTTCTACCTCGGGTAACTGTAAGGTGTACGGCACTATTCCGGCGCAAATTAGCACCCGCCACTACCAACAGAAAAAAACTTTCAATAATTTTTAAATTTTAATTAAAAATATTACAAACAAAAAATTTCAATTGCTCGACCACCTCCTTCTCTTCTAGGGCTTCCATTGCCGTCCAATTCTACTCCCAATTTTCTTCTTCTTCTTCTGTAACTGGCCCGCCGGAATTATTCCCACCCCCCTCCGCCGAAGCCCGCCGTTTCCCTTTTCTTCTCCTCTTCGGGTTCAGCTTCAGGTTCTTTCTTGCTGAACCAACAAATTCTTCAATTCGAGGCACTGTTTCCGCAGTGGATTCGGATTATTCATTTGTACTTTCCCCCCTCTTCGAAATGGTGAAGACTTCTAAGTCCGTACAGGAACGCTTCGAAGACGACGGCAACGGTACCTCTCTCTCTCTCTCTTTGATTTCTAGGTTTGAATTGATTGCTGTATTTCTAAGAAATGACTCTTGGGTTGAATTTTGTTTGGTCGTTTGGTAGGGGAATTGGGAGTGAAGATAGAGGGGAAGAGCGGGGAGAGCAAGGCAAGTGGTCATCGGTCTAAACATTCGGAGACTGAGCAGCGGAGGAGGAGTAAAATTAATGAAAGGTATGCTGCTGCTTGTGACTTTAATTTCTACTGAAAAATTGTGAATCTTATCTTAATTGAATCCTTTTTTAAGGGAAATAAATTGTTTTTGCCTCTTGCTTCAGCTTTTTCGGCTAATATGGACGGCTTTTCCTTTTCCCCCTTGTTTGTTTGTCATCTTGTGTGATTGCTGTAAAGGAAGCAAATTTCTTTCAACTACAAGTGAAACATTGATTAAAGAGTTAATCATTCTTGTTCAGTTTTGATTTTGTAACTTGTAAAAATGGCGGCAAGTTCAGAGTTCTATGACGGCTTCTTTATACCTTTTGTTTTTTTTTTCCCCTTTTTGTTTCCTATAGTTATGTTCGGTAAAAGTAAAGTGAAGCGGTTTTTTACGGGTTCAGTTAAATATTTTGGACCATGGGTATTCAGATGTTAGAGCAATTCGCAAATGTTTTTGCCTCGTTTGAATATTTACTGGAAGTCTCTACAAATTTCACTTAGTTCAGGATCGTTGTTTGAACAATAACATGTTGACTTGTCACATCCCTACTTTCAGTGATTTTTATTTTTACGAAAGTTCATTCTCTGTCCTTGTTTAAATTCTGCTTAAACCTAATGCTTTAATTCTTTTACAAGTTAATGGTTTAGTTTTCAGGATAGTTTCTCCTTTATGTTTTAAATGCCCTTTTGTCCTTGGGGGGTTTTTTTTTTTTGGGCGTAATTTTGGTGATATATTCTCATGTTTGTGTGAAATATTATCATATTGTAACCGGGCAGATTTCAGATTTTGAGAGATATCATACCACAGAATGATCAGAAAAGAGACAAGGCTTCATTCTTGTTAGAGGTATATAACATATTATTATTTGTAGATTGATTGCTAATTATTCTAGTTTTCGAGATTCCTTGTTATTTAATTAAATTGATATTTGATCTATGTGTACTTTAGGTAATAGAGTACATTCAATTTCTACAAGAGAAGTTAAATATGTATGAAGGATCGTGCCAAGGTTGGAGTTCGGAGCCTACAAAGTTGATGCCATGGGTATAATCTTCTTGATTGACATTTGTTTTCAGTTTGTCATCCACCAGCTTGGGTGGCTTTCTTGCTTTATTTTTCTGGAAATTGAGTTAGAAAGGTCCTTCAATAGTTCTAAATAACTGTTCTAGATTATCATTCTTTCTCTTGAGAGTATGGAAGTCGTGTATTCACTTTATTAATGTATGAAACTGTGAACAAACACTTCATTCCCTGGCATGTTCGTCATCCTAACTGTGTGGAAAAATCTTGTAATTTGTGTAATTCCAATTGTTGACAGAAGAATTATAGAGCTGCTGAAAGTTATGTTGATCATTCTCAAGTGGTAAAGAGGGGTTCCAGTCATGAGAATGCTGTTGTTTTCTCCCAAGCAATGCTAACAAATGCACCAAATGTCATGGACGCGGACTTGGGTCCTGCTGCAGTATTAAATGCAGTGGATCATACTCTCGTCTCTGCTACTCAAGGTCTCCCCATGAGCATGCATGCACAACCAATTGTGTTCAACTCAGCTGGAAGAGGTAGTTTATCAACCGAATCTTTGGACGAACCTGCATCATGTTCCGAGAACATTTCTTCCAAGATCCAGACTGAATTGTTGCAGAGTAGAACCTGTACCACCACAGGTTTTCCAAACCATGCTGCTAGTGATCAGGAGGATCTGACTGTGGAAAGTGAACTGGAGAGTATCTCAGGTGCCTATTCCCATGGGTGAGCATCTGCCACGAGTTTTATGTTATCCGCATCTGATCGTATCTTCTTAATGTAAAATCTAGCAGAAACTGTTCTTTTCCCTCTTTGTTTAGCTAAATTCACATATGTTTTCTCTTCATATCGTCAGAGAATCATAAAAACATGTAGTTGCCTTGCCTGCTGGAGGCAGTTTATTGGTTTGATTATAGATAATTGGTTTAAAAAGATGGAAAGATACTAATTTCATGTAATTACTAACTCCATGATATTTTCATTTTTGTTTCCATAGGGGGCTAGAATTGTTCTGAAAGGTATTTCAAGCCACCCCCAGTTATCTTTTGTTTCTGTCATTGACTTAGTTTTCATATTGAACAGGTTACTGAGTACCTTGACCCAGGCCCTGCAGGCTTCAGGCGTTGATTTGTCGCAGACCAACATCTCAGTGAAAGTCAATGTCGGAAAACGAGCAAACAGAACGACATCCCTTTCAGAGGTTCATCATTAACCTTCACCTTGGCCATTTCAAGTCCTTTCTTCTGCTAGCTAGTTTAATTGTTTCTGTTATATGATCCACTACTTATAATTCCCATCAGGATGATAAAAAACAATCTTTGAACAATCAAGCGATGGCACAGAGCTTACATGGCTGCTTCAGTGAGGACTCAGAACAAGCTCACAAGAAGCTTAGAACAACAGGGGTGTAGCCACAGCTAGTGTGTTTACTCTGATCTTCTTTATCTTATTCCCTCTTCCTGTTCCTCCCTTGTTCTCTTCCCATCCCTGAGTGTGATATTATTTAATTTTTTTTCTTCT